GGGCGGTGTGGGCGGTGGGGGCGGTGTGGGCGGTGGGGGCGCGGGGGGGTCCGGGCACACATTGGCAGCCTTTAAATACTTTTTAAAAGGGCGGCGGTGGCGGTAGGGGCGGTGTGGGCGCGGAGGGGTCTGGGCACACATTGGCAGCCTTTAAATACTCTTATATACTCTTTAAACACCTACAGATACAGCGGTGAAGGACTCTTTAAACAGGGCGGTGAGGGCGGTGGGGGCACTGGGGGCGCGGAGAGGTCCGGGCACACATTGGCAGCCTTTACATACTCTTTAAACACGTATAACAGCGGTGAAAGACTCTTTTAACAGAGCGGTGGAGGCGGTGGAAGCGGTGTGGGTGCGGACACCTCTCGGGATATCACGGGCGCCGCCCGCAGGGGTCGGCGGATACACACATATATATATATATATATATACACGTAGACGTTATCCCTGGCCACCTGGAATGAAGTGTGCACATATGTACAAGATACAGACACAAACAGACACGTATGTGTGGGTGTGGGTGTGTGTATATATATATATACATATGTATATATATATATATATATATCTGTATATATATATATATATATATATATATATGCATGATGCGTAGCACATGCAGTGATGAGTTCGCACATGCATCAAGTTGAAGGTGCTGTGCTTGGGACCAGGCAATAAACGAACTGAAGATTCAACAGGTTCTCGTGTGTGTATGTTTCTGAAGTGCACTCGTGCATGTACTTCGTTCATGCAGCGTATCGTACGCATACACCAGGCTTTAGACAGACCTGTGCTTGTACTCACAACAAGACCTAGGAGTTGAGAAGCGATATTCAAGTTTATGGTGATGGTGTCTACATAGACATGCAAAGACATGGGTATAACAATGCAGAATACGGAGCCATATAGATCACTGACAGGAAAACAAAGACAGGCAGATAGATGCGCGCCGAGGTTATGACAACCGTATAAGTCGCTCATGCCTGCCTGTCTGTCTATCTATCTGTCTGTCCGTCTGCACGTCTGTATGTTCATATGTCTGCATGCTGGCATTTGTACGAACATATAGTTGTAGAGGCTCGCATACTCGTATATCCAGAATCCAAGCGGGTATGCATGGACATGCATGTATGTATACAAAAATTGGATGCACATAGCGTAGATGTGCAACAAAAAGGCTACACCTGGAATCATGGTGATGGAGCGAGCATGAGCGCATGAGCAGGCAGATGCCGAGCAACGAGAGGCCGTGGACCCGTCGCTGACTGTTGTTTTGTCATGCAGTCAGAGTCAGGCTTCTTATGCTTCCTTGTCGAACCGTGCGGGGAAGGGCGTGGGCAACTCCGGTTCCGTTTCAACATGTCTGTGTGAGGGTGTGCGAGGTTGTTGCAAGCATGCCCCATTCGACGCCCAATTGTATAAACCGTGCAAGGCGAATTTGGAGCGCGAGCTGATGCTGCAACTCGAGGTTCGGTGCTGCTCCAGTGCTTCCAGTTTCTCCCGAGCATCCGGTGGAGGGAGTTGCAGAGGAGCGCAACATGGCAAAGATGGCAAAGGGCACTGTACGAGGCAGCGCAACGAACACCTCATCCGAACCCACAGAACCGGAGCGCAACATGGCATAGGAGAGGCTCGCAATGATGCGGCGGGCACTGCGCTGACCCTTCAGACAAGAACACCTACAGCAGAGACGTTTGCACCAAGACTGACTTGAGCCATGCGGCTTGCACCACTTGCATATTTGCTGCTACGTTTTGAGAAAGAGTCACCGCTTTGAAGTTGTGCTCGCGTCAGCTGCGAGTCTGCCGGCAAGGAGGCGACGGCCACGATTCGTCGCCTTGAGGCCGGGCCACGCAGGGGCGCTCCCGCAGGGTGCCGCGCTGCAGGGTCGAAGTTTCCGTTTTCGGCAGGGGGAGCTCCGGTCCTCGGAGCGACGACATCGCGTCCTCTCCGAGGCTCACAGTCTCCCACTCTCTGTCTCTCCTTCGTATGAGTGATTTTTTTGTTCTCTCTCTCTCTCTCTCTCTCTTTTCGGCATGCGTCGTGCCGTCGTGCGGGGGGTCTCGTGCGCCTGCGCCCAGGAGATCGCCTCCTTGCAAAGCTTGCTGGACGACGCCGAGCTGCAGCAGCGCAAGGCCGGAGCCGAGCGACGAGCGGCGCCCGGAACACAGCGGAGAGCAGCGCAGCAGCGGAGAGCGCTCTTCGGAGGCGCGGCAGCAGCGCGCAGCCCACTCGGAGCGGTTGGCCGCGGGTCGGAACGAGCTGCAAGCGAAGGCGCGCGAAGCGGAAACTCGTGGTTCGCTCGTGCCGTGAGCTATGGAATCAGAGGCCGTGGCATTCACGCTGTGGCTCCGAGCGTTAGCGATGCTGCGGTGCGAAAGGCATGAACTCCAGGCGTGCATGACATGTATAGTTGTTAACCAACTGATTAAGTTGTCAGCAGCAGTTGGGACACGGAGTTCGGCTGTCAGACTCCTAAGAATCATGCTCGGGAGTGCCTCGGAATGTGGATAGAAGTGGGGTGTTGTCTTGCGATCAGTGTGGCATGGTGTCCCGCCGTGACGCGAAATCAAATCAAGTGACCGTGCTCTTGCAGGTGATGGAGCATGAGCTTGCCCTGAAGGAGACTTCGAATCACTCTCCCAATGGCTGGCGGCCACTGATGCTGGACACAAGGGTCCCGGTGCTGTCATCAGTCGTTTGCCACGGGAGGATGCGGCCGAACGGCATCGCCTTGAGGTTCAGGACCTGCTTGCTGCGGTCGTCTGCACTCAGATCAGCTCACGGAGACCTGAAAGGAGTGGGAGCGCAGGCATTGGACTCAGAGCCCGATGGCTTCGGGGTCGGGTTGCCTTCACGCGAGAATGACAATGTGTCGAGCATGGTGATGCTTCAACTCGTCTCTCGGGGGGTCGAGAGCGAGTAGGGTAGGGTGTCGCATCGCTCAGAGTCGCATCGGCCTCAGCAATTCCGCAAGACTTGGGAGGAGCTTCTACGAATCAACCCCCGCCGCTGTCTCAGCCCAGGCTCCAGGAGCGGCTTGCGGAGATTGAGGCTCCGGAGTTCCTTTCGCAACCCTAAGCCTTAGAGTTAGGATACCCTCTCAGCCTGAAACCATCTGAAACCCAACAGACAGACACCCGAGCCCTAACCCTTCACCCCTGGGCCTTAGCCGGAAACTGGGACCTAAAGCGCAGGCCTTGGGCCAGCAGCGCGATCAAGAGCTCCGCGGATCCCAGGATGTCCTTCGCTCAGTCTCATGGCTTCTTCGGAACCGGAGTTCGATTTGAGGGTTTCAGTTTCCTTTGTAAGGGGGAGGGTTTGGGGTTTGGTTTAAGATTCGGGTTAGGGTTTAAGAATTTGGGGTTTGGGGGCTTGGAGTCTCATGTTTCGCTCGTTTAGGAATAGGACATTAGATGATACCTCCTTGTTTGAGGTCATGCCATAAAAGTGTTCCCTACAATCCTTCGTACGTTTCAGGCTGCCTGAAGTTGGCTGTCTAACTTCTGAGACCCCAATCAAAAGCAAGCGAGGTCTTTGACCTGGAGCTTGCCCGGGTCCACCAAGCTCATGCGGATGACAAAAAGATGCGCGAGGCCAGGCCAGACACGTTGTCATGGTGACGTGATGATTGGAAGTTGGCATGGCTGGCCTGGCCGCAGCTTGACAGGAAGAACATCGGTTGCAAGCCGAAAAACATCATTTGGCCCTGGAGGTGGGACACGGGGAATGGGGAACAAAGCTGCAGGGGCTCGGGAGAGGAGAGGCCGCTGTCGGCTTTGCCAGGAGCTCCAGCGACAGCAATTTGAGGCCACCTGCTGTGGTACCCGTGACGTGTTTCGCGGTTTGGGTCGTGCTCCTTGCACCTTGAGAGGCAAAGCAGAAGCTCCTGATGTCTTCGTTGGCAGCATTGAACGGGCAGCGTTCAGAGGCCGGCTGCAGCCTTCTTGATGAGTGAAAGAATCTGCATCTTTACAGGGGCTGCGGAGGGACTACTTCACGGCTTGGGCACAGTACCTCGTGCACGTGCTGGACTCGGCAATGCTGTGGCCAGAGTTCGCGTCACATCTTCGGCTACCAGCCCAGGTCAGGAGGATTCGCAGCGAAGAGTGGAAGGAGCAGGACGAAGCCCTTGGAACTTGGGTTCGGTCCACTCCTGATGTCTGCAAGACAGGAGCTGCAGCGACTCCAAGCGCAGCATGATGCCCTGCACGGGAAGCTCCAGGACAGGCAAGAGCAGAGGGCAGAGACAGAGAGAGAGAGTTTCGGAGCGACGCAACAGGAAACGTCCAGATGGAGAGGTGGGAGTGTAGAGGCCAAGGGAGGCATTCGCAGCCACTTGGACTAGCAGGAGCGGGAAGCTGCCTTCGCCAGGCAAGGGGGATTTGTGCTGCGCTTGGGGCTTGTTTCGACTTTCATACTGCTTCGTCCGATCAGGCACAGGACGAACCGGGGCGACCAGGAGGGGCTCAGTGGACTTTTCGGGCTCCGTTCCGCTTCAGCCCCGAGGTCGCCACGACAAAGCAGAAGCTCTGGATCAGTCCTTTTGGCTGCAAGGAGAGGTTCCGGAAAGTCCGCAGTGGTCCAAACGTTTAATTAGGGCCTGGGTGGTTTCTTTATTGTATTTTATTGTGCTTGGCATCAAAGGTCAGGTCCTGGGCGCATGGCTGCTCGTGGCAGTGGCCATGCGCCTGGCACGTGCCAGGGAGCTGGAGGCCAGCGAGGCCCCGTCCGTTGGCCCCCAGAAGCCCCGAGGTTCCGAAAGCTTCGGCTAAGGTAGGTCTACAGGTTCAAAGGGCTTGAGTCTACCTTAGAACAGCGAGCGCACCAAGATGTGTATGTTTTTTGCATGGCCACTCAACGATCTTCCTTCAGGGATTCCGGGAGTCTTTTCGGAGCCGTGCGCAGGATGGCTTGTTGGGGCCTGCATCGGAGGGTCTCCGAAGAAGCAAAGGTGAGGCAAACCAAACCATCGCCTCACTCGCAAAGATCAGTCAGCGTCAGTCTTGATGGTATATTCCTTGACATATACTTGTTTATGTACAGGATATACCTTCTTGATATAGACATAGAAAAATTATCCAGCGAATCTCCCCCGCATCCCATAGTCTGCATCAACGAATCCTAAACAGGTCCTAAACCATAGACTCGATGCTTGTTGGCGGCAACAAAGGGCCGAAGCTCTACCGTCACGACGGCGAAGGCCCCAAGAAAGCCAAGAGTGCCAGGCCGACCGGCTCCGGGCAGAGCTACAGCGTCTGAGTCTCGAGAGCGGCAGGGCACTGAGGCGCGAGCAGGGGTGACCTTGTCAAAAGTCACCCGCCAGGTGTGGCGCTTTCGAGTTTAGGGCGTTTGGTTCAGGGCATACTTTGCAGTGTACAATGAAATCCCGTGAGGAGTCAAGCCGGCGAAACGCTTGAGCTGCGGCGGCGACAGGCAACTCAACCCAACTCAAGGGGACAGGATCCATAGTGCTACGCATGCTCTGTGTTTCGAACTGGCCTTGTAGGCGCTGCTGCTTCAGATCTTGCGTTCCTGGCTCCGAAGTGTTTGGCAGCAGCACCTCGAAGCTGCTTGGCAAGTGCACGTTGTGATGTGCAGGTGTCCGGAATCCGGAATGTCGTTGCTTAGACAGAGAAAGTCGTCGGCTATAGCAGGTGATTGCTGATCACTTTGTCATTTACACAGTCGAGATGTATGTTCCGCCAAGGCTCGCCGAAGCGAGACAGATGAAGTCTCAAGGCGTCTTGGTGGCCGCAATTCGCGGAAGGACCTGAACCATCTTGTTGGGAAGCGGGGTCCTGCGGACAGTACCGAGCCTCCACGTCCAGCCGACGGGATCTCACCGGCAGATCCGTGGGGGTTTCGTACGCTTGTGTTACTTCTTGCAGTGTACATCGTAAGATGAGCTTCGGAGCTCGGTCAGGTGGATAGGGGGTTGACGATTCGTATGTTGGCCTGGACAAGCAAGCTGGGCATCTACAGACCCACAAGACACAAGAGCCTAAGCCTTCCGAGCCTACTTGTAGTTCAATCTGAGTCGAGGTTGAAGTACATGTGTAATTTTAACGCTACGCCGCCCGCCTCGGCTCTGTAGCGGCAGGGCGAGGCGGCAGTGGATGTTGTATACAGCATGCTAAGCGGGAGTGTCGGGGAGGGGGGGAGCCGGACAAGGGGGTGGCAAATGAGCGCAAAAAACGGGTGTCCCCACACATTTGGACTGCAGGGAGGAGGATGAGGTGGAGGGTACCTGAGGTAACCACCAAGACGCCTGGGCCTGTAACCGGTTAAGGCCTTCCAGCCATGCCGCCCGGAGCAAGAAAAAACAACACAGAAAGAGCCTGAAAAGAAAGACAGGCAGTGGATTGACGACGCAAAAGCCAAAGCGGGGGCGAGGAAGACGAAACGAGGGCGGGGAGAAGAAGTGGGAGCAGGAAAGAGGGAAGAAAAAGGGGGGGAGGGGGGGGGAGGGGGGGGTGAAACCATAAACCTCTAAAGGGGTAGCTCTAACAGGTACCTACAGCAATGGCTGCATGCTCATACATATACATTCCGCTGCCCATTGGCTCACAGTGGTTTTACCATATTGAGACAAGACAAGCTCTCCTTGCGTAGCAAGACAAAACAACTACTGTCCGTGTGCAGGGCGCTGCCCTTTGATCCTTAGGGAATAAACTGGTCATACACCTCCTTACAAGGAGTATCCCTTGGGGGTGTATCGGCACAGTTTTCTGGTAGCGGAGCCCGGAAAGGGCCGCCCGCCTCACAAAGTCCGCTACAGCGGTCGGCCTCGCCGAACGCTTAACCAAGCGGATAAGAGGCAGCACAATGTCGAGCTCGCATAGCGAAGCCGACGGCAGTTCCCAATCCTCCGGGGGATATGAGAACGAAGAGACCTCCCAAGGTCCAGCTACTTATGTCGCACAGTCATATGCAACATCTGACCGCATGCTTGCATCATTAGGCATAACGCCCAAGATCGCGCCTGCCTATGATGGCACCACCTCGTGGTTTGAGTATGAACAGTTGATTGACGACTGGTGCGATATAACAACGCTGGATGATACCAAAAGAGGTCCGTCTCTCAAGACGAGGCTCTCCGGATTGGCCGCAGTACAAAAAGAATCACTCAACCGAGAAAGGCTTGCAGCCCCAGATGGAGTAGATTACTTCAAGAAGAAGATGCGTCCATTTTTCGTGAAAGGAGAACAGTACGTTTTCCTGTGGCGTTTCCTCGGCCTATTCAAGGCATGGAAGGGCAACCAAGACTTTGTGACTTGGATTGCTAAGTTTGAGATCGTGCTACAGCGCGTGAGAAACTCATGGATGGATCTCTTACCAGAGATAATTCTGGAAGATGCCCATCCTGATTTCATGCAGGCTGTGC